GCACACTTTAGCCTGCAATTAACTTATTTATAATCACACTATAGCTGCTTGTCAGATAAGCAAAAGTCCCTCAACCCTTAAAGCTGAACAAGTTAATATAAATTTTGGCATCTGAAAACGTGCGTACAAGCACTCGTCTCCCTCTTGCCCCATGTTTTCCGCCATCGACCCCAAGAACGACCTCAATGTCTGTGCAAATTAATGAGCATCCAACTTATGCTTGACTTAAATGCAGGCAAAATGTTATAAATGGCATTTTAATCAACGTCAGCAAGCGGCGCGCGTAGCCAACAAACAACATTAATTAAATGTTCACTTCACGCTAAATGGGCGGCCAAAAACCGCCCACCGCCCACCACCCACATGCCCATTCGCGTTCGCGTTCGCGCTCTCGTCGCACTTGGCTGCCCAGACAACAGCCACCGCTGGTGCCGCCACCACCACGGATTCTGCCGCAGCCGCCACGCTCATCAATTTTTGCATTTTAATGATATTTGAACCGCGGTGTGGCCGCAACAAAGATAAGTGAGGATAGAGATGATGGTAACGCATTCAATATTATTTTGTTGTTGCCTACTTTTTGGGGTTGACAATGGATAACTTTTTAAAATACCTAGAAATAAAACATCCGCAATTATTACTTTATTTGTGTTCCTGGGTCATAATCACGAATTAATTTCTTGTTTAATGAAATCATTATCGTATTTAAGAAAATTGTAGACTATTATATTCATAAGGTAGATGAAAAATGCATAATGACGACGATAAAAACCGAAAATATGAATAAATGGAATATATCGCCGAACATAACTTTTATGTTTCACAATCAAGCGAAACTTTTTTTGTGCAGAAACCAATGTATTCTGAAATGAACAATTAATAATACTATTGCATTTTCCAGGACTGCATTTTTTTACTTAAAGAACCATTGATAAAATGCATGCTAATAATACTTTTTCATTCATTTTTATATTTGACAATACCTGTCTATATTTCAATTATAATTGGTGTTTTATTAAGCTGCTTTATAAAACATAAAACTATATAATATGCATTTATGTGTACGTTAATATTGTGGATTCAGCAGAGTACTCGATTGCGTAAGAACTAATGCGTGTAAGCTGCTATTTTATTTTTAAATCGTCAACTTTTATTAAAAAGTGATTAAATTTAAGGAGACAACGAGTGCCTACTCAGAAACAAACTCCCATAGCTCAATGATCCAGGCCCCGAAAACTGTTTCGAAAAGTAAATATTTGTCTTGAGCACATTTTCACATCTATACTTCGATCAATTTTATAAACTTATGTCACTTAAAGTACCAATGGTAATACATTGATTGATAAACTTTAATAATCTATTAAGAAATAACGTCTGGGAGAAATAATATGCGATTTTGTAAGTTTATTGATTTGCTAACTTTTTTTTTGCCCACCTACATTTGATTTCATGACCATTGTGGAACGTTGAACTTGTGCAGTTTACAGGAAACAGCAACAAAGAGTATGCAAAAAGCGTTGCATGCGGGGGGCCTTGTGGCTTTTTTGGGACTGCCAATGAAAGTATATGGTGTGCAGTCGGTTTTTCGTTTAATTGAAAAGTAATTAAATTTTGAAAGGGCTAGGGCCACGCTTGAATCACTCCAATGTTCTTTCAGCTGGCCCCAATGCCATGATGGGGCTGTGGCGGTGCATGAATTATTGAACAAAGCAAAAGGCAGGCAGGCTAACTTATCTTCCTCCCTACAGGGGGGAGGGGCCGGCTGGGGGGCAATACTCGTATATACTAGTACGAATCGACCTCTGCGTACAAACAAATTGATAACGCATTACACATACATACAGATAAACCATACATACCAACACCGTTCTCAATATTGCTGTGCTGGTTGCCTTGTGAGCTGAGCATCTGTGTTTGTATGTGTGTGTGAGCTTCTCTCTAGAGAAATTTATAAATCCTGTTTCTATCGCAGCATATGTAAGCAAGCACTCACAAAGATTTATATGAGTATGTGAGTTTGTCTGTTTGTTCGAGTACGAATGTGTGTGTGTTTGTCGCTTTATGGCCATGTAAATTGGCAATCGTATGACTGACTGTCAAAAGATGTTGCCACCCAACGACACGAACAACAACAAGAACCAGCTACAAGAAAAGTGGAGCCAAACGTTTTATTGCCGTGCCACAGCTGCTTGATTCGCTCTCGACAAGTGCAGAAGCACGCAGATTGGCCGTAAAAATGTCACCTGTGACTTGTGACTGTGCAAAATCAAATAAATTGGAGCAGCTGCCACCCAACTACATTGTACGTAGTATGCGAGAGCTTTGCTCTGCTCACCTGCTTCTACTTGTACAGCATCATGCATAATTTATGCACAACTTAGCAACAAATAAGAGGCAAGAGCAGCGGGAATTATAGATGCAATATTTACTGCAAAGATTGACAATAAAAGTCTCATTCTATACAGCAAATAAAATATTCTTATTCTGACCTTAAAAGTACTTTAAAAGGTTCTTTATAAATCTACATCGCATTCGAAGATTAACTTGGGGTCATTAATTTTGCATTTATTGTATATCTTTTACAGCGTTAAAGTTCACTTATAGATAGATTCGGAATTCTTCAAAAAATTGCACTGTTTTTGAAAAGAATTGACTCTACAAGAACAAATTTAAAAAAATGTGTGTCTTTTTTAACAATCGGAAGTATACTATACTCTTTTATTTTACTTAAGCAATAAACGCGAGCAATTTCTAATGTGAATAAAATTTTTTTCAAAATTTTTCAAATCAATAGACTTTTCGATTTAGCTTTAGCAAAAATATAAGAGAAATTAGAGACTTTTAAAGAATTTAAACAATTATTCTTGCTTTATAAAAAGATTTATTTAAAAATTCTAGTGAGACATAATCCTTCGCCCATGGCCCTGACCTTTCATTTATTGATATGCAACAATGGTTGGGAGAGTGGATTTTTCAAACTTATAGTATGTTTTTTTTTAATGTAGAATATTCAATAAGGGCATAAACACATATTAACAATGTTTTAGCAAAATTTAAAACGGGGCTTACTGACTTTTGAATTCGAAAGACTAATCATTTACAGGCTTTGAAGACTTGCCTCATTTATCAATAATGAGAACTCTAGTTTGGTGTACCAATTGTAACCAATTTTCAAATGTAATTTATTTTGTTTGTGGAGGTTTTTCTATTAGACTTTTCGACTAGTCATAAACGAATGCGCATAGTTACCAGTAATCCTTTTAATAAACTTTGTGGTTATAGAAAACATTTTTATATAGAAATTTTGTTAGACATTTAAATATTATCAAATTCATTTGATCGAGTAGATGGGCTTCTGGGTAACAGTTTAATTATATGCAAATAATAAACATTTTGTTGGAAAGGACATCTTAGTCAAGTTAAATTTATGCCATTTTCACTGTACTTCAGTGTATAAGTCACAATATAGACATTGGGAAGTGGATATGTGCCGCAAAGTTGCCACTGAAATGCAGCATCGTCCGCAGTCGATTTAAATGCAAATGACTGCCAGATATCAGGCGATGTGTGCGAGAGAGAGGCAGTGTATGGGTTTGTTTCCCCGGAGGGTTTGGGGCAGGCAGGGCAGACAGTCTTATCGGCTACTGCTTTCTCCTTTTCCGTCAATGTCAATTCACTGTCGATCTATACGGTCGATCGTTTCGGTGACACTGACACTGACAGTGACGATGACAGTGACAACGTGCGACATTGCACTTTTCGCACTGGCGAGAAAGCTCACCACAATCGTCACTTTTCGCGGTCCTTTCAGGCTTACCTTGACGTTGACATTGCTGGCTTTAGTGGCCCAAGCACTTCATTCTAGCAGCAGCCATTACCAATTCAGACTAAAACTGATATGCAAATTGAAGAGAAGCTTTTGCGAAAAAATGTTTTAAATCGATGACAGACTTGAAACTTGGACTACTTTAGCCTTGACTTGACTTGGAATGGCCTGCCAGCTAAGGTTTATTATTAATTTTACTATCTAAACATAGTGGCTAAACATACTAGCTAAACATTAGTTGAATATTAATACTTGTAGTCTTGTAAATTATGATTTTAAATTATTTTTTATTTATTTATTTGTAAACGAATTACTGCAGAGCCATGCATTTCAATTATATGTATTTGATTTACACATTTCACAATTATTCAACTTGCTTCGATTAATCAAAAATTGTTGTCCCGGACATCGAGTCCACGCTTACTTCTTTTTCAGTACAGATATCGAACCATAAATCAATGCAAATTCACATTCGAAGTCCGTATGCTGAAAATCTAAAAGAAAACAAACAAACATTGCAAATGTCATATCTCCACCCACAAATGGGTAAAATTGTATATTATTAAATTCTTGTTAGTCGGTAGGACATACATTTTGGATTACAGATTTTGCAGTTTGACACGTATTATCGTATTTTTTCTGTTCTCTGCTTTTTCCTGCCGAAAAAAAAAACTTTAAGTCAAATTTGTCTATTTGGAAACGGAAAATAAAACAAAAATTCTTGTTGCATTCAATTCACAAATAAAATCAACAACTGTGCTGCTCACACAGTAGTATTATGTTTTATTTATTTCATCTTGGTTCATGGGTAATAAAACTCATTGCAGCAACACAAAATACTTTCAACCGCAAGCTTAAGATAAGAAAGAGCATTTCTAACTAGATACTTTTAAATGTATTTATTTGAGATGCGAATATTTATTTCCTATTCTATTTTTTAATTCGTTGTCGAGCATTATTTAATGGAGAGAAACTTAAATTGTACTGAAAGCTTTAATACTTTAAATCTAGAAATGGTTTTTTGCAATAAAACGCATACCACTGAAGAAAAACAATGGAATAATGGAATTAGTTTTGTTCTTGCTTAATTACCTTAAATATATGTAGGGCCCCACCCTGACAAATTCATTTTCTATACAAGGCGGCAATTTTTCATCTGTTTAACAAATATTAGTTGTACTTGTTGGTCGAATATTCAGCGACTGCTATGGACATACTTCGGGCTTTAATTCTGCTATTTTGGCTCTGCTTTGTCGTATGTTCAATTTAATCGGCATATGGTGCATATAGTGATAACATTTTTATTTCACAGTCTGGTGAGCAGAGCATAGATCAGGATATACCTGAAGGGGTGGATCTTACTGGCTGTATTCCCCATTTCATTCTTGAGTTTAACCTAGCACGGTCGGAATTGAAAGCTGTTGGTAAATGTGCTGGCGCTCCCTACAAATATCAATTGGGACGCCGGTCAGTGCTCGACATACCTCAGTATTTGGAGAAAATAAGAGAATTAAGACCGGACTGCATTAGAGACAATGTGAAGGAGAGATTGCCAATATTAGTTGCAAAAATAAAGACATTGCCGAAACATTGTGAATAATCATTCATCTTATAGTCTGTATGCCATAGAAAAGTAGTCGGATTGATGTAAATTGCTGTAAACAGTTGTTAATAAATGTATTTTGATAGAAATAGTTCTATATATTTCTTATTTAAATTTCTGTACATGAAATGAAGAATAGTATATGTATTAGGATTGCAGGAGGTGAAGACAAGACGAGTCGATCTATGTATGTCTGTCTGTCTGTACGTCTGACTGTATGTCTGTCCATATAAACACCTGGATCTCAGAGACTATAAGAGCTAGAGACATCATATTTTGCACAAGTTGTTTTGCAAGTTTGTTTTATTTTTTTGATTCATCCCTTCTAGGACATAGATTAATCTGGATACCATGTTTGGTTATTATACTTTCTTAGATCTGAGAGGTTATATAGACCGACAGACGGACAAACGGACAGACAGACATGGCTATATCTCTCCCTGAATTCCAAGCGTAGCGTTATTCTAAGAACATTTGTTTCAGATGTTAAGGTTAATATACGTATCGAATAGGAACGGTCTCGCCAACTGTTGATATTATCTAAAATAAATATAAGTATATCTCGTTACATTAAATGCTGAATTGATATTTTCGATTTGAAGATGAAACTCTAACTAACATTGCTTTTCGATATTAGCATTTTTATAGAAGAAGTACAATATTATTAATGAAAAGATTTAAATTTCAGCTTCTAATGCCATTTCAACGATTGCCGCCATCTGAAGACTATATGCCCTTGAGTTACAAACTTACTATATAAGAAGATAAATTTTTTCATAAATTTTTGACTACCCACTGCTATAATTTGTATCTCTTCTTTATGAGCAGCATTTATTTACCGACTCGTAGACTTTACATTTACAAAAATTAGAAACGTGCTGTGGCATATATTTAATTTTGTGCTGGCTTAACAGGAATCGCCGACTGAAATTAATGAGTTGAGAGCTGCAGTTCAGCAAATCCTACTTTATTACTAGTCGCAAGCTGTTAACTTTCTCACAGGTTCTCATTAATTACATCTCGTCTTGCTGGATTGCCGTCCAACTCAATCTCTTTTTGCTCGTGCTTAATTAAGGTAGAATAGATCATAATTTATCTTTTAATCCGTAATGCGTCATGGAAAAGTTGTGAGATTGTGCATATGTAAACAATTGTCAATAAATGTTGTTTCTAGCAACTGTCATTGCATTATCATTCGTATAAAATGAAACACAATTATTGGCATTTGTGCTTGTGTGTGTGTGAGTGTGCTTTCGCTTTTTCTACTTGTTCTCTGCCATTCTGCTCTATTCTATGGCCGCATTGATAAATTATCAAATCGGGAATTGATGACAGCGTCAATGTCAGATTAGAGCAATTAAAATCAATAGATAGCTTTGCCCGACCAGACCGACCAACCGATTGACAGCCTGACAGACTGCTAGCAGGGCAACAGCTACAAATTGAGCTACGGTCACAAATTGCCAAGGTCGTGGCTGAAGTTAAATTTTTCCCACACGCCCCACCTGTAACAGCATCAACATTATAGGCAATGAGTTGCGACTTTTACGGGCCAGCGAGTGTGTCATTAAAATTGAGTATTTGCATTTTTAATTAAAGAACAGTCACGGTCAAGGCAAGGGGGCCAAATCGGACAGTCCTAGACCGAAGAAAAATCACTGACAGCCTGTGCTCGAGCGTGTCGACTATATTAATAAAAATAAGCATGATTTCTTGGACTCTGCTGCTTTCAGCTTTTGTATACTTATACATATATATATATATTTTTTTTCCCCCCAAACTCATTTGTTTTGTTGCCAAAAATAAAAGGCAACAAAGTATTTTGGGCGCTTGAACGCTAAAAGCAAATCAAATAAAACTTTTTCTTATGGCTAAGATTTTGCCTGGAATTAAATTTGTTTTGGCCTATTTTGTATGCTATACTCATCGAATTGAGGACTTCAATTGAGGATTAAGCCGAAAAGCAAACGCACGTAGTGAGAAAAGACCAAAAACAAACAGAATTACCCAACGCAATTTTTACACTCGAGTTAAAATTGTGATGTTTTTTGTTGTTGCTTAAATTAAACAAATTTCTTCAGGTGTATAACAGGTCAGGCCCGACTCGACTTAAGGGTCTGTCGAACTCATGAACTTATTGATGAAATATATTTATAATATGCCTTTGTTTTTATTACCAATTTCATTTTTATTACCCACCTTTGGTTGCATTCGTCCCGGCAATGGATTCAATTTTCCGTTTTGTTGTTATTTGTTATCTTCTTGGCAAGTTCTTAGGCAGGTGGCACTCCAAGTTTTCAGGTCTAAGAGTGAGAAACGCTCACTCATACACGCACGCCAGCAGCAGCAAACAGTTAAATATTATTGTTGTGCAATAGACAAAAGCGAGAAAAGGTAGAAAGTTTTCTTTTTGGCAAGCAGCCGCACGCAGCAACCACCGGAGCAGCAACACACACCTAAGCGCACACACACAACACACAAACGTATACGCATGCACACCTTCGAAAAGAAACACACGGCACGGTGCACACACTCGAGCACGTTCCGGCACTTGGCGGTAAGGACAATGCCGCGCCACAACCAGCCGTCCTACCGATTTTACCGCTTTTACTTCGTCTTCTGCTTCTGCTTCTGCTTCTCCTTCTTCAGCTGCTGCTGCTGACAATGAAAACAAAGCATGGGGCGACAAACAAAAGACGGCCAAACACAACGCGGCGTATACGCAACACCGCACGCGAATATGCGAACACGAATCACGCACAGTGTTTTGTGAATATCGAACGCACTGAGTGCTGTCGTTTTTATGGTTGTTTATCAAAATTATATGACGAGCAGTTGTCTTTCTTTTCTGTGTCCGTGGCCCTCTTCTTCTAAGAGAATAAGGGAGCGGGAGAGTGTTTGTTCGCCACTTTGCCGCGTCATGCGTCCAACGTCAACGAAGAAACACAAGCAACTGATGCCAAATGCCCAACATCGTCCGTGGCAGCGGCCCAGGCAGCGGCCAAGGCAGTGGCAGTGGCAGTGGCAGAAGCAGCGGCATTGCTCGTGCTGCCTTCGTGTCATTTGTCATACGCCATGTGTGGCGCTAGCGTTGACGCTCTGCCAGCAGAGGCGTCGGCGCCGCCGCCGCCGCAGACGCCAGCATCGTGCTAACAACAGGTTAGCCTCTGATAAGCCACTGGCGCTCGTGTCGCGACAGCCGACAACGTCAAGTGCTGGCGATACTGCTGTCGGCTCTTTACGATGCAGTCTCCGAGTTGTTTTCCCATTAAAGGGAAAACATCGCCAATTGAGTTGAGTGGAATGCTCAAGCTGTGTGGGTGGCAGTGAGTGTGACTTGAGAGTAATTTTTGATTCCAACCAAACATTTACAGTTTAATAAATGAGTGCAGTTTGTAAATTTTCTTGTTTCGCAGTCAGTTGCATGTATACGACTATTCTTATTTCTACCTCGAATATAATAAAATAAATGTACTTAAACAATTTACAACAATTCTGGTATTATCAAAAAACATTACATTGGTTGAAAATGTGTTTGATTTATTCGAGAGCTTTATTAGCTTGTACTTATGCTTAAACGATTTGATGAGAATGAAATATATGGCGTTATCTTTCCACTCCACTTAACATAAACAAAGCAAATAATAATAAATAATTAAACATTTTCGAAATTTTATTTATTTAATTTTATTTATTTCTTGACAAACAGATCTGTACAAATTACAATAATACAATAATCCGTCTCGACAGGCGAATTGTATTTTTCCGCCAACCTTCTATGCCTTAATTTACAGCACCCAGAGACGTTATTAGACCTAACCAAAAAAAAGACATGTCTGGAACCTAAACACAAAAATTTAAAACGGATACAAATAAATAAATATTTGTCTGTAATAGTCTCTGCGCCGACGGGGGAAAATTGTAAATGGAGAAACACAGACCTGGTGAGGGAAGCTTTGTTTACAGTTCGGCAAACTATGGCCCAATTGCCGGTTTCTTGTTGACCTCGATTTCTCAGGTCTTTTTCGTTTGTAATTTTTGTCAATCAATAAGAAATATAAACATTTACATGAAAAATGGCTCTTTTGACCAATTGTAAATACTCATATTATTCAAAGAAAAAATCAAATTGTAATAATATGAAACTAATAGATTTACTATTATTGTATAAAGTGTTTTTATTCCCATTATACGCATGCACACCTTCGAAAAGAAACACACGGCAATTAGATTTTAAAATAAACATACACACACACACACAAAACGCACACATAAACCCAAATTTATTTATTTATTTATTTATCATCTCTAGTTATGTTTTGCGAAGTCCCTTGATATGAAATTCTTTAAATAGAAGTATACATTTATTTATTAATTAATTAATCCATTTCTAAAATTATTTATTTCTCAATTGATTACCATTTTTATGTATCTTTACATTTACATTTTTTTATTAACTAAACGCCAAACATTATTAAGTACATATATGCTCACATGTGTGTATGAACTTAAATACTTCTCTCAATCCAAATTTTTTCATTATCGCTTCCTGCTATTCAACTGCCATTTATCACAGCCGACAGCTTTACATTTTAATTTTTGTTATCTGCTTTACATTCCGCAGGAAATCACAAGTCGCGTTGCCGTCAACAGCCGTCGACGGCATTGTCAACAGCCACTACCAACCTACCTACCTACCAACAGCTCTATCTGCAATTTGTTTATTAAAGCCGCCTCCATCAGCAACACCGCACCGCACCGCGCCTCACGGCAAATCAAATCAAGCCAACGCTTCCTCATCCTCGTCCTTTTCCTTATACACAACAACGGCTGAGGCAGTTGGCACACAAAAGTAACGCTGAATGGGAAAAAAGCGGCACTTCATCTGAGCCCCCGCGCCCGCCTTCACTTTAAACTCAAGTTCAATGTCTAAGGGAAGAGGAAGGAGGGGGGACTGTGGTGGGTAGTCCTTCTGGTAAGTGCGCACGTTTCCTCACTTCTTCGACATTATGTTTTATATTTTTGAAGCACATGACATGACACATTTTATGCCAGGCCGAGTGAAGTGAAATAGTTGCCGGGTATGCTCGTACTGCTTACCATAAATGTTGCCAAGTATGCGCATAAGCCCTTACTCTTGCCCCACTCCACTCCACTTCCCTTCACTCGAGCCCCCTCATAAGCTAAGGCACTTGGCTACCTCGAATCGTTTTAAAGCTGTGAAGAAAAAAAAAAATGTGTAGCAGATTCGTTCGACATTTCCAACACGTTTTTTATATGCTCTAACCTGCCATCATTTGAAGAGAACGTATGTTAAATACATATATGTATAAATATATGTGAGTGTGTGCATAGTTATGGATGTGTGTGTGCAGTCAGGCGAGCAACCACTCTATTGACTTTGTTAAGTAAATTCAAGTTACGCATACGCCGCGTGTGGCGGGGGGACTTGCAATCAGAAAGTTGTTCCTCCTTAAATCTTAACATTAATTTAAACACACAACGATGTATGTGCACACATATGGTTGGATTTAACTGTTCATTTGCGCATATTTGCACATTTTCAGCTCGACAATTGCGCTGCCTGCAAAATTATGGCAAACTCATTCATAAACAACAGCTAGAAATTGTTGAACTCCTCGCATCGCTCGTTTCGCCCATCAACCTGCTGTCAATTACTTTTTGCTCATTCCCGCTCCTTTCCCTGAATCTTCCATGCAGCCTAATAAATACTATATACACTTGTCGTTGCTTAATATATTCATCTACCTATACACGCATAATTCTCATACGAGGGTAACACTCACGGTTTGGCAAAATGGAACTAAACCATTAGGCAGATCACAGATGTGTTCAAAGAAATTTATCGTGTATCTTATATTTAAGTCTTTTTAATTAAGTGCTTACTTTTTTGGTTTCATAGACTCGTCAATACGAAATAGCTTGGAAATATTTCTTTACAGTCTGTGCATCAAACTGAAAAGATTCGTGTTACAGGAAGGGTCGTATGAGGCAACAATCTACTACGAATTCGATCCTTCTTCAAGTGTTCTTGAACACACTCAGCCTATTCTTATTGTTAGAAAAGAAAAAAGCATTTTGAAATACTTTTCAACACTTTTTATAATTTTACGCAGGTTTGTCAACTCTGCAGCAGTCCAAATATCTTATATAAGAAATAAGGGTTCCTTTGATTATGATAAAAGGATTTATTAGCTGGCGCTTAGCTTATTATATTGAATATAATATTGAACCGGTTATTTATCTTATTTCCAGCAACTGCTTACATTGAAATTCGATATGCAAGCATTCAATTGGTTTTAAATATAGAGCAGAATCAAATTGGATAATTATTTTGAGATTTTCATAATTTGAAGTTACTTTAAAATTATTATTATAATTATCTATTACAATTTAGCACTTTGTATGAAGAATGCATGGCTAAATTATTTTTCAAGCCTTTTCACGAACCATTACTAATTTGAAATTAGTAATTTCCATTCAAAAAGAAGGCGTGCCAGAGCGCGTGTTGTGGGTATTTAAATGAGCAGCAAGTCAAAAGGAATCAATAGTGCTGGCACGCCTTCTGCTCGCCTGTCTGTTTATATTATTATTAATATTTTTTTATTTATTTATTTATTTTTTTTTTTTTTTTTGTATCAGCAAAGTGTTTTTATTAAAAACTGTCCATCGTGGACAATCATTAAATTTGTTAATTAAACTTGACGATTAATTATTTCATTTTTGATGTCTGTTTATATGCAACGAGTAAATCATTTGCTTAAATTAGCTGGAATGAACCAGTATATTCCTATTCCTTATGATTATACGATTATACAAGTATATGAAATTCTTTCTTTTTAAAGCTAACTCAACCAACTTTTAAAAGAATACAATCGAACAAAATCTATACATGAATTATATAGCAGTCATAGCAGCAACAGCCAAGCAACTTTTGACCATTTTTTTATTCTACAGGTAACGAAGGCATATACTCGTATTGTGTTGGAAAGGTGGTTGGCAAATTTTATTTCGAAAACAATCGAAAAATTTGCGAGGTTGTTATTACTTGTTGTTTTATAAATTTATGAAAACCATATACAATATTATTGTTTAGTTGGAATGAACTGGCCTTTGCAATACTTTTAAAATAATGATTATAAATGATGGTATAGTTATTTTGTAGAACAAATTGTTGTTATAATTAAGCGACAACTTAAAATATTCCAACAAAAATCAAATAGTTTCTTCTTAGACTGTGATGTGAGGCATTTTAAAAGGTTCCAATACAGGTCATAGTAATCGATGGCAGAAACTTTTAGGGTTTCCCCTCGTGTGTGCATATGTAT